CCCAGGCTGGCCTCGAACTCACAAAGATCCGCCTGCCTCTGCCTCCCGAGTGCTGGGATTAAAGGCGTGCGCCACCACCGCCCGGCTAAAAAATTCTTAAGTTCCTAAAATTCCTCCAAATGTTAATAGACTCTTCTCATCCTTGCAGGAAAGTAAAACTCTAGATCTAAAGATTGCAAATGCATTTGAATGATGCATACAGTCTCTTGTTCTAAAACTAATACTTTATTGACCCCCCAGCAGGCACATGGGACCTTTTAAATCACAGAGTGGCATATTGCCAATGTGCTGATCTGACTGACTGCCCAGTGTGACTACTAATGGGCAGACACATTCAAAGAAGATTTGGAGTATTTTGAGTAGAAGTGAAAACATGAAGAAAATTAAAAGAGTTAAATAGGGGAAACATGAGAGGTTACTGTAAACAATGAAGGATTACAGGAAAACGATAAACAGAAAAGAGGAGTCTGGACTAGAACCTGTCAATCAAAAAAGGAAGATAGGCAATGGTACTGGGTCAACCACACTCGAGGGTAGCGCCCACATTTAGGAGTAGATGAACAACACAAATGGAACTTCATGGGGTGTGTGTGTGTGTGTGTGTGTGTGTGTGTGTGTATGTGTGTGTGTGTGTGTTTGGGGGACAATGGGATTTCTTTGAAGAGAAAGAAAGAACATGAAGTTGGGGTGGGTAATGAGGTAGGAGAAGATCTAAGAAGGGTTGAGGTAGAATACAGAGTATGATCAAAATATATTGTATTAAATTCTCAAAAAAATAAATGGAAACATTTTAAAAGAAAGTAAGGAACGCAATACTGGGGATAATAAATTTGTGTCTCTTCTGAAAGGATGCAGCAGCCTGAGGCATCTGCTAATCAACTGATAATATACAGCCATTTCTTGCTGGAAGGAAGAGGGGGTTATAAGGGTCTGGAGGGTCAGAGAATTACAAGACTTACAAGGCCCCACTCTGGGCTTGTTAAACAGTAAACAATTGCTGGAGGAGAGACAACCCCAGCAGAGATGTCTGTAAGCTGCTGGGGCATCTCCAGAGATAAAGCTTGCACGGGCCGTTACCCGTGTCCAGATGGGCTTTTCTGTGATGTGGCTGCCTCTGAGTCATCAATGCTCCCATAAGTAATACCTTAGTTCTCCAAGCTAGACTCGAGTGGAGCCATTTCTTTGGTCTGTTATCAATATTCCCTCTGGGATGAATAGATGTTTGGTCACATCTCCTCAAGAAAAGTCACCCCACAACTGATCACACAGACTTATTGGTTATTGTTTGCGAGGAAGATATTTATTTTATGCAGGCTCTGAAGAGAGAGCTCTACATGAGGAAATTCAAGAAATTTCCTACATAGGATAGAAATGGAAGTAGGGAGGACTTCACAGCAAGCAAGCCACTGGTCTGGGAAAGCTCATGGTCCACTTCATTTGGTTTTCTGCAGGTTCCTCCTGGCCACGTCAGAACACCTCTGACTTTCTCACCCTGATTACTCTTTTTCTCCATGACGCTCAAGTTGTTTTCAACAATGAAAAATAAAACCACATTGACTGAATTCATCCTTCTAGGTCTCACAGATGTCCCTGGACTTCAGGTGGCAGTTTTCACTTTTCTTCTCCTTGCCTACTTATTCAGCATCATTGGAAACCTGGCTATCCTCTTTCTCACCTTATTGGACTCCCAACTTCACACTCCCATGTATTTCTTTCTCCGGAACTTCTCCTTCTTAGAAATTTCTTTCACAAACATCTTCATTCCCAGGGTCCTGTTCAGCATTACGACAGGGAAGAAAAGTATCAGCTTTGCTGGCTGCTTCACTCAGTACTTCTTTGCCATCTTCCTTGGAGCCACAGAGTTTTATCTTCTGGCTGCTATGTCGTACGATCGCTATGTGGCTATATGCAAACCCCTGCACTACATGACAATCATGAGCAGCAGACTCTGCACCCAGCTAGTTCTCTGCTCTTGGCTGGCTGGGTTAATGGTCATTATCCCTCCAATCACATTGATGAGTCAGCAGGACTTCTGTGCCTCCAACAGGTTAAATCATTATTTCTGCGACTTTGAGCCTCTCCGAGAACTCTCCTGTTCTGACACCAGCCTCGTAGGGAAGGTTGTCTTTCTTGTGGCATCTGTGACGCTGGTGGTGACTCTGGTGCTGGTAATTCTCTCCTACACATTCATCATCAAAACAATTTTAAAGCTCCCTTCTTCCCAGCAAAGGGCAAAGGCCTTTTCTACTTGTTCTTCCCACATGATTGTCATCTCCCTCTCTTACGGGAGCTGCTTTTTCATTTATGTTAAGCCTTCAACAAAGGAAGGGGGCACATTCAATAAAGGAGTAGCCCTGCTCATCACTTCAGTGGCCCCTTTGTTGAACCCCTTCATTTATACCCTGAGGAACCAGCAAGTGAAGCAAGCATTCAAAGATACAGTCAAAAAGCTTGTGAATCTCTAATGAATTTAAGAATTGAACTCTTAATGTGTACCAAGCTCTCTCACACTTACTAGGCACCCAATTAAGAGATCAAATCCAGGTCAGGCGGTGGTGGCACACACCTTTAATCTCAGCTTGCAAGAGGCAGAGGCAGTCGAATCTCTGTGAGTTCAAGGCCAGCCTGGGCTACAGAGTGAGTTCCAGGACAGGCTCCAAAGCTACACAGAGAAACCCTGTCTCAAAAAAAAGAGAGAGAGAAAGAGAGAGAGAGAGAGAAAGAGATCAAATCTGCTTCTGTGAAAAGACAAAGAAAAATTCAACCTGTTAGGTGTTACTATAAAGATCTAAATAAGATTTTAAAACTGAAAAGCAATTGAGTTACTCAACTGAGCTACTCAGTCTAAGTTAAAACCAATAAATGTCACCATGAGGGATGACATTTAAACTGAGTTCTAACAAGTAGGAATAAGACAAGAACAAAATAGAAAAGAGAAATTAAGAACAAAGGGATATTTTGGATTGGCACACAAAATTTCCATCCAAGAGGGGCTGGAGAGATGGCTCAGAGGTTAAGAGCACTGACTGCTCTTCCAGAGGTCCTGAGTTCAATTCCCAGCAACCACATGGTGGCTCATAACCATCTGTAATGAGATCTGGCGCCCTCTTCTGTATACATAATAAATAAAATCTTTAAAAAAAAAAAAAAAAAAAAAAAAAAAAAAAAAAAAAAAAAAAAAATTTCCATCCAAGAAACTGAAAAAAAACTCATTAATTTCACTCAAAGCAAATTCAATTAAAAAAATAATGAGAATTATGATTTTAATTTGAAAATAAATTAAAACCTCATTTAAAATAAATTAAATGTCTATAGTGTTCAGGCATCTGAACTTGGATCAGATCTATGAATTTAGCAATTACTATCATATAGAATCTACATCGTGGATAATTGAATGTGTAGAATAAAGGAAATTGCAAAGAAAAACACTCTTTGGTAGAAAACCTCAAACATTAAATGCTAAGGATCATCCAAATTTAAAGAGTGGAAGAAGCAAAGGGAATAATTAGAAAAGCAATAGAAATTCATAGGGAGAGTAGATAGGTGTGGTGGTGCATGCCTTTGTTCTCAGGAAGCACAGGCAGATTGATCTCTCTAAGTTCAAAGCCAGCCTAGCCTACACAGTGAGTTCCAGACAAGCCAAAGCAACAAAGTGAGACTCTGTCTCAATCAAAAAATAAATAAAAACAAAGACTAACATGTAGAAATTATTGGGAAGAGATCTCAAGAAACATAATTCGTGCTGTGCAGTGGTGGTACACACCTTTAATCCCAGCACTTGGGAGGCAGAGACAGGAGGATCTCTGAGTTTGAGACCAATCTGGGCTATAGAGCGAGTTCCAAGACAGCCAGGGCTACACAGAGAAACCCTGTCTTGTGGAGGGAAAAAAGATTAAAAAAAAAAAAGAAAAAGAAAGAAACATAGGTTGCTGGCAATGTAAAATGTTACAGAGAGTAAGTAACATGAAAAAGTATGGGAATCAACAGTCATGATTTTATTGTTGATCTTAGCCGTCTTCAAATGTGGAAATTGGAAGTAGAGTAAAAAGTCAGACTGCAATGTGTTACTGACGAGTGGGAACTACAAAGTAAGAGAAGGATTAAACGGACCTTCAAAATAGATGGATAAAACAAGCAACAACCAGTTTATGCTTCCCACTATCCCTTTGCCTTCTCATTCTCAACACACCATAATTATGGCTGTACACTTAAGGTATGTATCACACCTGACCTGTAAGGCTCAGGAATGCAAGAATAATCTGGTTTTTTTTTTTTTAAATCATAATTTCATCCCCAATGCCAAGCAATGATAGAGATCTAATGAAAAGCTGTTGAGGTCATAAACAATGTATTATCAGATGGACTGATAAATGAACAAATGAATTATGGACCTCAAAAAATAGAATTTAAGTAAAGAGCTTGATCGTTTAGGGATTTATATTCTGGCAATAATGAATGAGCTTCATATGGACTTCTTAGGTCTGCCTGGAAATTCTGTCCTGTTTTACAGGTAGAGATAGTGATGCTCAGACGGTGAAATAGGCTGTGTATGATCACACAGAGTCCAATTCCAGCTCCTCTTGGTGCCAAAGCCCATCCAGCCATTCCAACTGGTTTAACCATCATTCCTTTCAATGTTTCTAAGTGTTGTGTTGCTGGCTTTTGGTCTATCTCCCTCTTCTCTGTGTGCTCAGAAAATTTTGTCAGAAAGAAAACTTTACAGTGTGTGGTGGTTTGAAAGAAAATGCCCCCCTTAGTCCCATGGGGAGTGCACTATTGGAGGTGTGGCCTTGTTGGAGGAATTGGTCACTGGAGGCTGCCTTTGAAGTCTCAGATACTCAAGCCAGGCCCAGTGTGGCTCTCTCTCTTTATGCTGCCGGCCTATCCAGATGTAGAGCTCGCAGCTCCTTCTCCAGCACCATGTCTGCTTGCACACTGCCATGATGATAATGGACTAAACCTCTGAACTGTAAACCAGCCCCAGTGAAATGTTTCCTTTATAAGAGTTGCCATGGTCATGGTCTCTTCACAGCAATAAAATCTTAAATAAGACACAGTGTAAAACTTCTTAGAAAATTGGAAGTAAAGTCCATATTACTTCACCCTTTGGTTCTTGATGCCTCTGAAGATGTTTCTTTCATGGTGGCCTATTCCTGCAGTCCTAGAACTCAGGAAGTAGTTGCAGAAAGATTACAAGTCCCAGGCCAGCATGAGCTACATAGTGGGTAATGGTGGTTCCTTATTTTATTTTCTTTGCTAAAACATTCAAGAATAAAGGGTGTATGCATTAAATATCCAGTAGGAAGGGTTGGTATCAATTGTGACTGACTCAGTCGAAATATTTATTGAATTCAACTATTAGTGAACAAGTCTATGCAAAATAAAGATGAAAAGAAATTCTAGAACTTTTCATACGTTCACATAACATTATTCTTCCCACATAGACATTTGTTGCAATGAGGTTTTCTGACCTCCCATTTGTGAAGTCCCTGGTGTCATGGACCTAATTCCTTACCAAATACACATGTAGTCACTATGTAACATCACCAGAAACCAAATGGACCAAAACTGTGCCCATCTGGTGAACACTGTGGACATTTAACACAATAATGTCACTGGTCCATATCTGAAAACTGTCCCAACATTTTAGAACAGAGCCTTGTTATAGGACCCATGCCCTTAGGTGTGTCTTCTTTCTTCCCAGTCACCTCTCCTTTTTATTGACCCTTGGATTTAAAATCTATATTTAAGTGCCTGTAAGCAAAGCCCAACTCTGCTTCATACTGGATTGACCTGAAATCCTTTTCTGCATCAAAGATGAGGATCCAGTTTTACCTGAATTAAGGTCCCCAAAATACTAAGGGACCCCCTCAGGCTTCTGCAGATGACAGTGTGGAGCTGTACCACAGCCACTGAACATAGGGTCAGGAATTGACTTATTCTTAATATGACTTTTGTTTCTCAGACCAGTATTATCATCCAGCCAAAAAAACTGAATGCCATATTTACCATTCTGTTAACTTCATGATACTTTTTAGATTTACTTATTTGATTTTATGAGTGTATTATTGCCTGTATTATGTGCACCACATGAGTGTCTGGTGCCCACAGAAGCCAGAACTCTTTGTTTTTAAAGTTATATTTTAAAATTAACTTAATAACTAGTGGTTTTTCAATTGGCATGTTTATCTTTTCAAATAATCAGCTCTTCATTTAATTAATTCTTTGGACCAGTTTCTTTCTCTTTTTTCTGCCTTTCTGCCTTTCTTTTTCATTTCTGTTTCAATAATTTCTGCCCTGACATTTTTATTATTTCTTCCCATCTACTGTTGTGGAGTTCGGTTTGTTCTTGTTTTCCAAAACCATAGCATGTATCATTTATTTGTTTGAAATCACTTGAAATTTTTTTAGTACTTACTACTGTAACCTTTCCTCTTAGGACTTCATTGTGTTCTATCATGTCTTCATTGTGTGTTCTTTTTTCTCCATGAGTTTGTGCACTTTCTATTGCTATTAATATCCCCCTTTATTTCACTATGGTCAGATAGAATATAGGGTGGAACTTTAAGTACTTCATATTTGTTGAGACTTACTTTGTATACTAGTATTTGAGCAAATTTTGAGAAAGTCCCATGGGCTGCTTATTTGTATTCTATAGTGAGTAGAATGTTCTATAGATATCTGTTAGATACATTTAAATTATAAGGGCAGTTCTACTATATGTGTCTCCCCATGGGAGGCCTTGCCTTCTTGTGGGGAGGGAAGTAGTGGGGAGGCCTCAGGGAGGCTGGGGGGCAGGAGGAGGAAAGAGGGAGATCTTTGGTGTGTAAAATGAATTTAAAAAGTTCTTTAAAAAAAATTACAAGGGCATTTAAGCCCAATACTTCTGTATTTTGTCCAGACTACCTGTCTATTGGTGAAAATAGGGTATTGAAGTCATCCACAATCACTGTGTTGTGATTGATTTCTGACTTAACATCTACTAGTAGCTAGAGCATGAAAAATGGGTGTGCCTGCATTTGGGGTATATATATTTAAATTGCAATAGCCTCTTGGTATATTGTTCCATTACTGAGTATAAAGTGACCTTCTTTGTCTTCTGACTATTTTTGGCTTGAAGTCTACTTTGTGGGTGTTAGGATTTCTACTAATGCTTGATTTTTAGTTCCATTTGCTTGGATATCATTTTCCACCCTTATACCCTGTGATGGTAGGTAACTTGACTACATACAATTTTCCAACCCAAAGTCCATATGTAACTCTAAATTCCTGAGAAAGATATCAAAATTCATAAAGTTTGTCTCCAGGCTATGCCTAGCACATGTTCTTCTGGTCTAGTTCCTTATTCTCTGGTTTTCTCAAAATGGGAAGTATGACCTTAGAGGAGCTGACCCATGATGTTTACTATAAAACATCTCAAAATGAAGTGTGAGCTTAGAGGAGTTGACCCATGATGTCTACTATAAAACAATCTCTTTCTAGTCACCTGGGTCAAGAATTACCA